TGGAGTGATTGGGTCGGAAGGCGAACTGGGATGACTGCTCGTCTGGGATGACTTGCAGTTCTTGGGAGTGGGTTCTTAGAAGAGTTAGGATAATTTTTTCTACCACTTTGCTCATAGCCGAGAGCAGGCTATTGGGCCGGTAGTTGGATGGGATGGTGTGATCTTTGTTGGGTTTTGGGATAAGGATTATGTTTGCTGTTTTCCAGCGGGTAGGCACCAGTCCACCGAGTCATTTGGCTGGATGGTCGCCTATAACCTTCCGCGATGATGACGCCCTCTGCGGGATTAGACAGGCCGGCGAAAAAAGATTTAGAGTATACCTTAGAAGTGACAAGAAGAGCGCCAGAAGAGGCCCCCTGCCAGCTGAGGCAAACCCTGACAGGAGGAGATTCTACAAAAATAACGGCGCTTCAACTGGATCACTACTAAATTTACTAGACAACTTCAATTTCACTTTTCGTATTCTAATTGCCATAGAACTACTCCTATAGTGTTCTCTCGGGAATGCCTAAACTGTTCCTGAGGTTTTTCGTCAATTGGAAAGCAGCTTATTAGCTTATACTTTTTAATTCTTCCATCATAGCACAATTTTACTCTCCGTTACCGTAGTTGTCCGTTCTAAGTGACCCAGCGCGCTTGATTTTGCCTTTTTAAATGTTGATCATGGCGGATGTATGTACTTAGCGTGCTTTATAAAATTAAGTGTTTTAAATTCTATGCATTACTTAGTTAGTCTTATGCGTTTGTGTTAATTTTAATATAGTGAGAATAAATTAATTATATCTGTTTAGTGTTTGAATTTCTAAAGAAAAATAACTCGGTGAAACTTGTTCCAAAATGTTAAAAATGAATGGTGATCGTGTATCTTCCCAAGCGATGAATATGCTGCTTTTCACTAGTAAGTAATTCAAGATCTCTCTTTATTTAATAAGTATATATTGTATGAAAAGGTGATAGGTAAGGACATCAAAGTACTTAGGGATAAAATGATTAACATGACCATAAAAAAAAACATGTATAATTTGGTTCGACTAATCTCCGTTACTCAAAACAAAAAAATTATCAGTGCCTAAAACAGTATACCTACTACTTTGGCCATCTATCGGATTTCCACCTTATATGGACGAGAAACTATCAAATTGTCAAAATAGCTTGCTTGCTCCGGTGCATTTTTAATTATTTGTATAAAAAAAATTCTAGTACTTTTGATACAGTTGAGAAACAGTTTATACCTAGATGCACTGATATCAGAATGAATTATAAGAGGATAGGTTAAATAAAAACAAATTTATATACATAGCCATTTATGACATTCATAAAATATTTTTACAATATATAAACCATTGCCTTTGTATAAAAACAATGTCATTAAGTATCTATATAAATCAAGTACCTCAATAAAAAATCTATGTACAAACAAAAAAATAATTTATACAATTAACAACGTTTTATGATCACAACGTCACGTGATGAGAAGATATTTTTTATAAGTCTGGCAGTTGCAAAAATATATAGAATAAATTTTAAGAACTAATATATTGTACATTTGTTTTAGAGTATTTTTTAAATTTGTTAAAGAAAGGCAATGCGTAATAACCACAATCATACTAAAAAAAAACTATCAAAATAAAAACGAAAGAATCTGCATAAATTTGTATCTTAAGAATGTAACTGCTTCATTATAAAAGTTCTTTCCCAAAATTATCACTGACGAAACAATCGAGATGTCATAATTTTGGGATCCCATTTTGTGTAAAACACACACAGTGATGGTTCGAAATAGTCCAGCTTGAAAAGTTTCTAAAATGCAGTCTATAAGAACCCAAAAATGTTACTATAAATAATATTTATAAGGTGAAGCTCTTTTAAATAAAATTGTAACCTATTTAAATTTAAACTGTATCTACTTAGTTGTTATGTTCGTGAGTTCTGGTTGTATAGCCTGGCGGCCACTGCCGCCACTAGAGCTGCTCCACGACCGCTGCCGTCCTCGGACAACATGAGGTCGAACTGGAAAATGGATGTAATTTTAAATAGATATAAAAAACACAGGGTGTTATGATATTCTTGCTATCGGATAGTCCTACGACCATGTTTAGGAGAAAAAAACTATACTCTGGGTTAGTAACGCTTGAATGCACAAGGACTTTTAAAGAGCAAAAATAGAAAAACTGCCCCAATAACAAAGTTTTTGACTAATTTGAAAATATGTTAAATCAGGAACATTTGTTCAAACATTGTCTTATGTGGGCAAAAAAACAAACAGCCAATACTTTGTATATAATGATTTACTTTATTTTTAATTATTTATCAAATTTTTGGATTATTATGGCTTTTTGCTTTTAAATGATCTATGTCATAATCTCCTGAAGCTGTGATATGGACTTAAAAAACATCTAGTTTTATTCAATTTAATTTTTTTCCGCTAAATTGTGAGGTTAGAATATTCTACACATTTTCAATCTGTGCACAGCAAAAGGGATGTTTAAAAGACTGACATTATAAAGTGGAACATACCTCAATACTGGGATCACACAGTTCCTTAATTTTTTCCATCATTAAATTGTGAAAGTGTGGGTGGAACCTGTAGACAGACCCATCAATGCCAATCGTGACTTTCTTCTCGCCAATTTTATTCAATAATGTTGCTAAACCCGCCGACACGAGATGTGCAGATCTCCTCGATATACATTCACATATGTACCTGATGTTAATGTAATCTTGTTCTGATGCATGCTTCAGTCCTAAAATGAAAATACTAATGAACTTTCCGCTCTGACTCCAGGTCAAAAAAGCATCTGTAGTAGATAATTACCTAATTCTTCACATATTTCTCTAAGGTTGTTAAAGACGCCTGGTGGATCACTTTCGATTTCCGATACGTACTTCGTGTAGAACCTGCCCCTTTCAAACAACATGTCAGAGCCTTTTCCCCCAAATAACAGACCTTCTTTGGTAAACCTTTCAAGTGCTAACCGGACCAATTCGCCCATATACATACCAGATATCATCTTTTCATGCCTGAAAAAATAAGAAGACACATTGTAAGAAAACCACGTGCATTGAGGGTATATGTGCTCAAGTTAAGGATTGTACTTACTTTTGTTTGCCAGGGTTGATGGAGTTTTTATCGACATCTTCATCGTACTCGCATCTAACAAAGTCTAACGCTCCGTCATCACCAAAAGCGCCCCACTCCAAATTAATAGAAACTTTTCCCGATCCCATATCCACATCATCCCACATCTCTGCATTCTCTTGTCGTTCCACATAACAGGCGTTACTTCCGGTACCTATCGAAATTAAAATTCACTGATTAGTTCCACTATTAGGTACGATTTGCATTATAATTTTTATAGTGAATACTTGATTTTATACTAAAATTTAAGTGTTTTTATTTTTTCCTGAAAGTTAGACTGCAATATTTTACAGAAAGTAAGAAAAAAAGTTTATATAAATAGGTGGTGAAGCCACAAGCTGTTAAAAGTGAGTATCTGAAAGTAGGTTTTTCTAGACATCTATAAAAAACAAACAAACTGATAAGTGGATTTTTATTAGTTTTTCAATCTAACGGATGAATAATTTAATGAAGGCCTAAATTTTGCTAGTTTTTTTACAAGGAATTATTAAAAAATTTTTGGAAAAATTTATAGTAAAAATGTTCTTGTCATTCCGAGTAAAATAGTTTAAAAAATTTTTTCAGTCATGAAGAACCACACGTCAAAAATATAGAATAATAGACAAAAATGAAGTTAAAGAAAATCACTAAGATAAGAGTACAATAGAGTGTTTGCCACCTTTTCAGATATTACCATAACATATTTTTTAATTTTTGTATGGAATCTTAATTGGCAATTTAAAAAATATAAAATGATACGAAATTTGCAGATGGTGTGAAAACTATGTTTTAATTGCTCAGTCTATTAATTATACACCACTGTCTTCCTTCTTTTATTTAGTAACAAAGGGACAGAGAAGATGAGTTGCCTAAATAAAAAGTTTTCTGTAATAACATGTCCATAGCATAGTATAGTATGTCAAAAGGTTGACGACAATGGTATTATAGGATTTGAACAGAAACTTTTAAAAAATACGAGTTATTAGCAAAATTGCTCGTACAGCTGGCACTTTCATCGTACAATAGTATTCTGGACAAATTAGTTTTAAGAATTTTTAAATTATCTCAACAAATACAGTATTTATTAATAGTTTTCAAAGCCTATTATTTAACTGAATGTTTACATATTCTGCTTCAAATAGTTTGGATGTGTCTGTTTTTAACATTGTGAACCTCCAATATTAAATTATACCCACTATTAAATTATATAATTCAATGCTGTCATGTAATTCTTTCCCACAGTATCATTAGCTAAAACAGTTTATTTCACCTAGTGCGATAGTGCGACATTAACCATGCTTTCATGGTACCTACCTACAGATTACAAGGTCATTTTTTAACAGTAGTTACAAAGCAATGCTTTGTGCCCGTAACCACTGAACATTGACAACTAAGATATGACATATACTTTGTAGGTTATATCACATCCATACTCAAACCTTTTTATTCAATTGTTTTTCCAAAACTCATGATTTATGAATTGTTAATTTATTGTAACACCTTAAATCATCATTTTTCAGAATGAGTTTCAACTGTTTGAAAATCATCTCATCAAAGCATGTATAGCACAAATTTTGTTACACTTGTTATATTTAAATTACTTTTATTTCAAAATGGTATTTGTCGAAATAGTACAAGAGTGTCTTTTTGCTGTAAAATTGTCCAAAATCTTTCAAACAGTTTTGAAAAGTCTGCATAGAAAAAAGTTTAGTGCAATATTTATCCGCAAATACTTTCAGAGGCCCCTGAATCAAATTTAGAAATTATTTTTTAACAGTTAGATTTGTGAAACACCTTACATTCATATAAACTTCTTTTATTTTTGAGAGAATGTAAAACATTGCAACCTTTATTTAATTTCAAACTAAGATTCACTACCAAAATTATTGACTTGAGAGTAAATTATACCGTTCTACTTGTTATTTATATTTATCATAAAGTTGCATTCTAAATACATGCTGAAATACAAGCGATAGCTATTTGAAAAAGATTTTTTTAAAACAAAAGAAATAAGCAAGAATGTGATTTACAAAAGCAGATGTTTTTGTGTATTTAAAAAAATTGTTATAAAAAAATAAATGTACATTTTGGTATATTTTTTAGATATGTTTTTTACTTTTATTACTCCATTCACCTATTTTGAAATCTGTTTAAATCATACATAATTTGAGCTACATTAATTATTCTCTATGTGTATATAGTAATATGTATAGTATAGGAGTACGGTTACCACTGTCCACCACCAGTTAAAACTCAACACCTACCAACTATAAGCCCAATCCTCGTATTGTGATTTTTCCAAGCACAAGACATTAGGGTCCCGGTGGTATCATTTAAAATCGCACAAACCTGAATTTGCACGTCCTATAAATAAAAAGATAAAAAGACATGCATTAAAATGAGAGCCAAAATCAACTATGAAGCGTATGGGGAGGAAATGTAGGCATAATTTAAATTTAAAATAGGATGATTTAAACAATTTCAATGATCAATTAGGCGTCGATGTCCAAAACAATAATTACTGCTGTGATAAAGGACATTACTTATACCATCAATAAATTTTTTAAATTTTTTTGGTACGTAATAGTAACGCAATTAAGAAATCAATGAGAAAAAATTTACAAATAATAAATTTGTATAATTCTGTAATAGCCAACACTAATATTGTTTCTGTAGATTCAAATTTCTACCAAGTTTTGTTAAGGATTATGCAATAAATTATGGTTAAAAGGGGACAGTTGCAGATTGAAACGTAGAAGAGAATGAAGGATGCGATTTGGTGCACTAATAATTAATATTACAACCATATCCAGTCATGCGCCGCAAGTTGCATCTAAAGTTTAAAATGCATTTACTCCTCTGTTGTACGGATAAACTCACCAGCGATTACACCTATGCGGCATCTGGGATTTAACCAGGCACAGGACATTAGTGTGCCTGTGGAGTCGTTTAATATCGCCATGACTGATATGGAAAAGTCCTGAAATTCAGTTCAGACCCATTGTTCACAAATGAGCTTTCGTGAGATATAAACAGTCAGAAAAATTGAATAAAAATTAACAATGAAATGTGTTCTTTTACCGATAATTTTATATGGAATATAATTCCATATCTCATCCACGAATTGTGTTTTACTTTTTACGTTTAGGTGCATGCATTTTTGAAAATCCATGAGAAAATGTCATTCTTTATACAAATTCTTGCTTGTCCGTAAAGATCTAAAAATGTTACTTCTTCCTTAATTTTATGTGTAAATTTTTTGAAAAATTTAAAAGCGCCTAAGCAAAGTACTCCAATCTTTTCAAATGTCAAATAGTGTCACGAGATATTGTAGATATTGTTAGTAATTCCAAGAAAGTTGTAAATAATTATAACATATGAAACAGTATTGCTTTTCTTGATATTTCCTAAAGGGTGTTTTAATTTAGGGAAACATCTAGAAGGTTATAATACCAAGGATTTCAGAATAACTCAACAATACATCCATAATTTAATAAAGGAACAGGAAATGCAGTAAAATTTTATAACCTCCTAGAAGCCCCTGTCTGAATTCATAAGCTTTTAATTAATTATCATTTTTGTTAAATCTGAATTAATTATACGAATCATGACTTGTGTCCAAGCCATTGGTAGTTTCTAAGTGATATGAAATGAGGTACATTATTTCTTTTACAAAACCCCGTCAATCAAGAAAGTAGTAATATTTTTAAGTTTGAGAAGAAGCAGGAATTTTTATAAAGATGACATTTTCTCATTACAAATAATAAATAGAAGAAAAATATCTTGAAGAACAATTTTATATTTTAAAAAAAATATATTTTGTAATTTATTGCAAATAATTTTACAATATTATATAGTGTTTTAATTTTAGTTGGGAATTTTTATGTAGCACAATAAAAGCAAAATATTTATTGCAATGTTTACTTTGACATTACCGCAGCACTGATTCATCTTATGCAAGGGAGCATTTTTTTATCAAGCATTGCAATAAAATAAATGCAGTGATATAAAACTTTCGAATAAGGTTCCCACTATCTTGTAAGCTATATATTTTTTTCTGTTTCACAATTATGTATCCTTTTAAATTCATATAAACACTATAATAGCAATGCTTCTTATGATTACTTTGTTGCACAAAAAATATTAATCTTTGAATTAACTATAGTAGCTCTTTTCTATTATTTTCAAACTTACAGCCTATCCTAACTATTCTAATGGTTCTTTCCATAGCTTGGATTTTTCTTTTTTTTTTGCATTTATTTTCATATAAGTAAAAGTAAGGGAACAAATAAATTTAATCCTACTTACACCTCTCCTGTCGATGGCTTCGTTTAACATTTGTACCACATCATTTCCCACTACATTAGAACAGTTGAAGCCCTTGGTCCATCTTTCCAAGATGCCTTTGGTTAGACCTTTCTGTGCTAGAGGGAAACTGAAAGTGAAACCTAGGGGTAGTCTTTGATCGGCCACTTGTTCTTCTTTGACGAAGATCGCCAGACATTCTGCAATGTGATCGAATAGCTGTTCACCAGAGCCCAGCATTATGTGCTGCGGTATGGCAAAGATCTTGGACTTCATTTCAAAGTGTTCACCACTGAGTTCGATCAGCAGCACTCTGAAGTTGGTCCCCCCAAGGTCGAGGGCCAGAAATTTCCCGGTTTCTGAAAAGAAACGATTTGTTTTAGAACGTCGTTGCTTCTGTTGTACTTCTGATCAACAAAGGGTGGTCTATAGTTATGTACATACAGGGTGTCCTAGAATTATGTGCCCAAATTTGAATCACTCTGTTATCTAAGCAAAAGCTCTATGTATTTTTATCTAGTAACTTTTTTTTAGAAAACCTCTTGTTTTTTAAGATATAAGTATACTTCTTAAAAATTTAAAATTTTTGTTAACAGCCACTGGTAAAAAAAAATCTATTCACTTGATTGATTTAATAATAAAGAAACAGAGGAAAAAAATTCATAAAACATTTGCATTGTTCATTTTAATCCTTAATCCATATTGTAACTTGTTAGCGTTATTTTAAGGGATATAAAATACCAAACAAGAATGTGAGATTTCAAAATTTATTAGACGACAGTTACTATTTTTGATAAGCTAAATACTTCGCTAAAATTTTGGCCCTTATTTCTAGGGCACCCTGTATATTTAGAGGTTTAAATTTTACTTTAGTAACTTTTTGAGAGAATTACATTCAAATTCTTTTATTATGTACATAATACAGTGTACATAATAGTTCCAGTAATCTTTCACAGATATTACATTATGTTTGTTACAATTAAAAAATAATAATTTTGTTAATATAAAATTATTATTATTATTATTATTATTATTATTAATTTTAATTAGTTACATGTTACTGGTGGCATAAATATGGTATAAAATTTTTTGTTGTGCATTTATCAACAACAATAATGCAAACAATATTATGAAGATATTTTGCTCGACTACAAAATGTTTACTTTTTAGAATATATAAAAAATAAAATAAAACGTGTGTTTTGTCAAGCAGTAACTTGAAAAGTTAGATTTATTTTTGGAAGGGTTGGGGTTTTTTTGACTTTCAATTAGTGCTTACTAATTTTATTCAAATTTAAGTAAGTTTTCATCATTTTTTGTTCAAACTGGATAAATACAGAACAAAGAGGTTTAGATAATATATACCCCACCAGTGAGGTATTTTTTGATATCATTCTAAAAAACATCTCTTTAAATTTTTTATTTTATATGCTGACAAAATTGTTTTTTTATTTTAATTTTAAGATCCTGTAGACTGCTAGAAGCAACATTTTGGTTAAGGCATGTTTACTAGTAAGCCTTGATCCATTCTTTACAAAACACTATAAATCCTGACACTCTTGTCTATGGCTGATACTACTACTTCAATTACCTACTTTTATCTATTTATGAGAATATGTTTTTGTAGCAAACTTTACAAAGTCGCCGGAACATATTTTCTTCACAAGAAATACAAGTGCTTGTGCTTATAGAACAGATACAGCTATTTCTGACCTGTGTGTCTCAGCAGCATTTACCTTTTGCCTTTTTTACCTTTGTGCCTTTACTCTTAAATAGAGGCCAATAAATGAAAAAATTGTTTACTTAAAACTTGACAAATATATTTGTTAAACGAATAATATCTGTATTTACAGGCAAATATATACTGATTGGTGTTGTAAACTATTAGATATACTAACCCTTCAAAGCATTTTTCATTTCAAATCGGCAAAATCACTATTTTCGTACAGCTTTTTTACCCGTATGGGACCTCAAATTGACAAAAGTTTAGCGTATGGTCGCTTTCACTGACTGACCTACACGTATTTTTTGTAAAGGCGTGTTTACACGACGCAAACATACAGGAAAAACTTGAAGTGTTATTCTATGAAGTTGACTTCTAACGAGCTTGAAATATGTAGACTTGTCATTAAACCGCACAAAAATGTATAATTTAAAGAAATATGTTTTAAAATATTTATTATCAAGTGCTTCAAGTAAGCACAAAGTTTCAATATTTTTCAGTTAGTAGATACATGCAAAACGCTTTGGCAACAAATGTAGCCAAATGCAAGTAAATATTAGTGATTCTAAAGGCATTTTTATATAAACTGATATTTAAGTCGCAACTGAAATCAAGTCATAAAACGTGTGTAATCTGCAATTACGGTAATTAAATTTTCCCAATACCTGACAGTACAAGACCAATAGCTGAACGGTTTAAATAAATCCCCGAACAATTCATACTGTAATAACGTTATCTAAGCCTTGAAATTGCCAAATTAACAAACACTCATAAAAATCTTTGCCTGAAACTCATTGTTCGATAAATGCAGCAATTAAACCTCAGAAATTCTTTCGTCGAAACAGTTAAATTTGATAAGGATTTCGAATAAAATAAATCCACAAATTTTATTGTAATCTCGGAGCTTTAAAAAAATCTTTTTTGAAATTTTACTAATTTCACTCTCACAATCAATGTTCTTAACCCTTTGGCTTATTATTTTAATTCACTTTGGCGTATCAATAATAGTACTGCCTACACATGTTACAAATGTTATTCAGAAAACAGAAAACGGAAAAAAACTGATTCAGAAAATTTGTCAGGTGCGGAGCACCCGCAAGAATTATTATCAGTTTTGTTAGAAAGTATTTCTTTTAATATATACATAGTACATACATATATTTATATTTTCACTTGTTATTCCATAGAAGTTTATTTTTTGTTAAAATTATTAACTGTTAAATTTTTGAAATTTGTATCGAAACAGTAATAAAGTTTATTTATTTTGACAAGTTTAATTAATTTCGATATATTTTTTAAAAAGTTTTTCATAAAATCTAATTTGGAGAAATACGTATTTTAAATCTTTTACCTCGTGTTATTTCAAATGACGACTCATTTCTCTTGCTTTTTAATGTTATCTGGCAAAAATGCTTATAGGGCAACCGAGCACCCGACAAAAGTTTTAAAAGTCGGCGCCTATGGTTTGGAATAATGTTGATGCTTTCTAAAATATGTTTTAATCAATAAAGAGTCCTTCCAACTTTTTAAATACATCAGAAACGGAAAGTAGGTTAAAAAAATGAGATCGTATATTTTCCTTTTTCATTTCGACTTAAAAAATTAAAATATGACGTCATTAAGCGAAAATCTGAAATTCAATGTTAACTGTAGTAAATTTTAGAATATGTATTTTAGTTTATTGCATTGGCAACATGAGAACAATTCCTACAGTGTTGCCACTGTTGCACTGTTGCCACATTCATCTACTAAATGACAGACACGGCTAACAGCAGCAGCAGCAGAATCGTCTGTTAAATTTGGCAAATACCGCCAGACACTTGAATTGTTAATTATGTTTCTAGTTATCAAAATTTTAAAATAATATTGCAATTGGTATTTTAGATCTATAAAATACTTTTACAAGGATGTTTTGTTTTCTATGGATGGAAATATCGTTTAATTTGTGACGAATTGTTCATTCTGGCAAAGGCGGTTGCCTCCCACTTTCTTCAATTATCGAAGATTTAAAAAATAGATATCCTGTCATGAGAAATTAAATTAACCATTTCTGAAACACATATATCTATAAAGAGTATAGTATAACTTTCTGCAATACAATTGAAATTAAAATAACAAATTCAGTAATATCTTCTGAAATCAAATTGACCCTTGCAACACGCCTATAAATTGATTTACCTGGATTAAACTATTAAAAAATAAGCAGAAATTCTGAAAGTGGAGGACCTTTAAAGCTTATTTTTTTGTAGCGCTGAAAATTTATTACATCTTTCTACCGCTGCTTTTATAGTTTTTTAACATGGCGATTTCGCGGTATTTTACATAACTATATATAAAACATGATAATTGCTGTCCTTGGACGTGACGCGAATACAGACCGACCCGCTAATATTCTTGCAATCTCGACGTATCCGACTGTGACGCAAACTATTTTATATATTTAGGAATCATGTTCAAGGCGCTGAATGTGTAACTGGTTCAATCTTTAATCGTTTCCATATTAATTTACTACGTTTTTGTTCAAGCCAGAGCAAAGATGCTGCCCTGACGGTATTTTTTTTACCAACCCATTAAAATAATAAACTGGAGTAGGTATACACATACACTTCAATCCCACTTCTGATAAACAAAGTGAATAATTTATATAAATTTTTAGATATTTATTTTTCTGTATAACATCTCGAAATGTCATTAAATATATACGGTATCCCACTTAAGAAGCATTCTTCCATTGCTCTGGTAATATCACTAATTCAAAATTAAGTTAGGTAACGCCCATAATACATTGGATAATGGATATATATAATCTAAAATAAAACAGTTATTTGTGTTACAAGAGCTATGGAAACATATGTTTTAAATGGGATACCCTGTATATTTAATAGGTATCTCAATGGGATACCCTGTATTAGATACTAAAACTTCAAAACATTCGTACGTGTTTGTTTTTAATATTTCAGTTTCGATACGTTTTTTATTAATCAGATATTTTTACAGTAACCCTAGCATGCTTTTGATGTAATTCTGGGAAAACCACTGCATTTGCTTTAATCTTTATTAAAATTGAATTGCCACCGAAGTTGATAAACGAGCATTAAAAATAGAAAGAGAAGTCCGCTGGGTTACTTTGGTATTTCGGAGAATTGAAAACGACAACAGCATATAAAGTTGTGAACTAATGCATATGTAGGTCGTGCTTTTCGTTGCAAATTATGCTACACATATTCAAATGCAATAAAATAAAACATTTCGGTCACGATAATATATACAGGGCGTTTTTAAGTCTAATTTTAAGAGGTTGTTTCTAGGATATAATATACATATTGATTTAAAGAAATCGCAACTGTCCGTGGAAATACAATATCAGTTGTCTCCGTATAGGTAAATGAAACTTGGGCTAACAATTTATCTAAAATCACTTTGTTGGTCAATCAATAATGGAGAGAGTAAAATATACCTTCAACCCTATGTCTCGGAAACCAGCGGTTGTTGACCTTCAATTTATAAAAAAAACCTCATGAAGTCATGAAAGACTTGGAATAACTATTTCTTCATCCAAATAAATTTTAGTACCTAGTTATGTTACTGTAACATTATTTTTAAATATGCATATAATGGTATCTATTTTTAGCTGTACCTGTGCCATTTGGTAAATCTTGCACATAGGTGGGAAAACATTTGACAATGGAATCAGCGTGGGTCTCCCTCTTCAAACCCCTGTGGACGTTGTCCAGGAAAATCTCCATGATTTTCCGGAGTTTGTCATTGTCCAGGACTAGCTCACGGCATTTGTCGCGGATCTGAAACAAATGAATTGCATGTAGAAACCTTCACAAGATAGATTTTTTAATGTGATCAATTTTCATCATGCCATGTGAAAATAAACTGAAGTATTTCTGTTGTATAGTTGAATCTTTGACGTTTGTAAATTTTGGTGGTCGAGTTTGTAATCTTTCACAGACATTGAGAAAATAGATTTTGTGTATAAAATTATCAGCACTCGACAGCAAGGATCAAAATAATAAATTGTGATGCTTTAATTTCGCTTGTTTCATCTTGTTTTTATCAGAGTTTAAAAAGTTTCCAATCGTAGTATCGATCGGTATCGATTTCCTCTAACGCCTTGAAATCGAAAACAACTTGTCGAAAAAAAAGGAAATAAACAGAAAAATCTGGAGTTAGAATTACGTGACCATACTTCGCACTTCAATTTAGCGATAAATATATTTCATACCTCCATTGTGTCAATGTTATCAGTTGCAAAACGTACAAAATCCCCATTGTATTGCAATCGTTAATAAGTCAACTTTGAAGGCTCATAAAGGATCGAATACTGGATAGATAGAGATGTTTATTTATAGATATTAAGTCTGCGGGAATCTATTATTAGTATGTAAATGTTTGGTAAGCAGACGGAGTGTAGATCTGAATTAATACTTATTTACAAGTTCAAATATTTCAAGTTTATTAGGAATTAGGTAAAATATTGACAGACTTCAATTTTTATTTGTCAGCTTATAAAAATAGTCTAAATCTTATACTATTTTCCTTTATGGCTGGTTCATATTAGAGCGAATGCAAATATGTTCTTATTTCGCAATATAAGTGTTCGATAAAATTTTGCTCGCATAAAACGAAGTATTACAGAACAATTTTGGGGAATTTTTACAAATTTTATTTTTTGTGTTGCACTACACGTTAAATGTTAGATGCAACAATATGAATAGTAATAAACTCGATAGGGAAGAATACGACATATAAACCCACTGTCATCTGATAGTTCTGAGTTCTGTCACAAATCAACGAAATTTGTAAAATTTTCTTTGGAATTTGCCTCCGTTGCCTTGATTCGCAAGACACCGCGATTTTTTGACAAGATGATTGTAATTGCATATGTGACATTTCCGTTGCGTTCTTTTTCCATCAATTATAACCACAATTTTGTTATTTTACTTGTATTCCAAAAAAAAGTTCCGATTTAAACATAATAACAGTATACAGAGTGCAACCAAAATAATTATCCAAATTTTAATACTATAATGAAAAAATTGCTATAACATGCTTCAGTTTTTTACACATGCTAATTTCGTTTCATATTGAAGTAATTACTGCTCAAAGTGTCATCAAATCAAGTTAAAATTGAAATAATTATAAAGATTATTAAAGTAATCGTGTTATCTGTGAACGAAAAAATGAACGAAAAAAATTATTTATACAGATGGCTTCTTCACTCAACGACTTTTCGCAACTGGAAATAAACCATATTATGGTATTGGTAATTTTGGCCAAATGTTTACTTATATGAAAATATATAAAAAATTAATATATTTACTACTGCTGTTTTTTCAAACTGCATCGCAAGTTAAATCACTTCAATTTACTGCGAACGTTCACAAAACTATGACCATTGCGTACTGCTGCTGCACCTGTCAAATCCGAAACGTTGCAACTAGCGATAGCGATTGTTGTGGTGGGGAAACCGTAAGTATACCTACTGTTATTGGTATTTCGCACTATTACGACAGCGATTTTTATTTAACAAAGTTACGTACATGTATTATAATTTCTAACATCGTTTCCTGCTTCCGTTATTAAACGTAGAAGTTTCAAAATATTTAAGGTTATTTGGGGTCCAGGGGGTGTGGAAATAAAATTTAATATTCATTTTAGGATACAGGTTCTTCGAGATTGAATTAATTATTTATCGACAAGGTTCGCTATGATTTGCGATCAAATAAATGGCAACCGAGCCCTACTTGATTTCAAGGAAAGCGGAAAATAATATCAAGATATTAATTTTTGCTGTGTACTTCTAGAAATTACATGCTGAAATAAACATTACGCGCTCGTATCACCTTTACAATTTTTTCAAACAAAAAAACATTTAAAAATATTTCATTTTTACAGGTTGAAGCACTCGCGTTGCCAATTAGCATACTACTTAAATATATGTAAATTTATTTCACCTCCATTACATACGGTTTTTTATCATTTAAACAAACAGTCTGTAACGTCAGAGGCACTCGAATCTGACGTAAATAGTATCTCCAGTTTCACCACACTCGCCTCCAATCCACACCTTCGGGTCGGATTTTCAAACGAAACGTTTTTAATTGACTTTGATATCCTCCATCTGCATGTAACCGACACTCAAGGTTTCTAATAATTTTAAAAATAGCCCCGTGAACATCCTGCCCTGCCATGTGTTCGAGAACGCTCTTGAACAGGCCGTTTCTCTACTCGATCGATAGCGGCTAACACACCCCCAGTTTCGGCCAACCCCGTGATGAGGGCGAAAAACGCCGTTTATAAAGAAAAAAACATAAACATACCAATGGGGTAGCCTGTACGTGCCTCTTGTAGCCCATTTCTAGCCGTTACACACCGTCTAAATCTCTGTGCACCACGTCAAAACTGATAAAAAGTAACCACACTTCGAACAACAGTATTCCGTCGAGAACTCGAATGCTGAATGTTGCGCGTCCTGAATGCCAGTCGGAATCATTCAATAAGTGAGAGCGGCGTGGGGCCTCGCCCCCCTCCCTCCTGTCGAGCCTCTCGACCGGCGACGCCCATTGGCCGCGCCGAGAGGTGTGTTACGTCTGCATGTGTGATGTCACGTCCTTTCCGCGGCTTGGTACGATATGTGGCAACTTTTTGGGAACCGCGAGGTAGGTTCAGGCCCTGGATCTTACGAAACAGGGAATTTATTAGATACGAAAAGCCCCACTGGCCCCTACTCGCTTGCAACCTTGCGAAAGCCCAGGTAAACGATTCGTTTTACAAATGTAAAATGTAATAATATTGAATCAGTTTGTTGCAATCCTCCTAGGATTAACTTGAATAAAAGCAAAACCGTTTTCTTCTTCACGAGAACGAATTTTGACATCTTAAATCATTATTCTGGAAAAATCTTCGAGATTTTTCGATATCGTTTCGACACGTACTCGTAACTGTTTCCTGAATTGGCAGTGGAACACCTGCGTTGTACTGAGTTGTTAATCTTTGTCATTGCTAAAATATATTACATCACTATTACTTATTTATTTGCAAATAAATATTAGAACAAGAGTTGTCTATAAGAAGAACATACTACTGAATATTGTTTAACATCAGGATTTAATATTTAACAAGATCCACATTCGACGCCAAATATATGCAAAATCTGACCGTCGGAGACCCGTCCATTAATTATAAATGTATATAATTTATCTGCTGGACTGCTGGCATATTATCCTCATTGCTATCCTCATCTTCATCGTCATCGTCATCATCCTCTTCATAATCTTTATTAGCACTACATCAGCTTTATCATTATCTTCATCACCTTCTAGTTCGATTCGCAGTTGTTGTATTTCAAAGGAAAAACATATTTTGTTTTATTTGCAAAACGAAATACTTTCCAGATATTTTTTTAATGTAAAAACACTATTCCCTTCACAAAACAATATAAAAATTGTATTGCAAATACGATTCTAAATATAATGTAATATTTAGAAATAAAAAAAATCCTTCGTAGAGAAATATAACATTTTATGAGAGACAGCAGGAGGCGAATTTCTACACCACTGATTTTTTTGAAATTTAAATTATTACCTATACATACATAATTAAATAGTTATTTTTGTATCTAGAATGCGAAATGGTAGTACTTTTGAGTTTAAGAATGGAAGTTGATTTGCTAGCGCTTATACTAGATTGCCTACAACGAATTTAAAGGCTGGTGTAGTTCGAAGAAAATTCAAAAAGTGTCTGAAGCGGTTTTACTGGCATATTTCGAACATAAAATTAATAAAATTAAACCTTCATTGTTATGGTCAGTATATTCCATGTTAAAAAGTACACTGAATACCAAAAAAAATGTAAATATCAGAATATTTCCAAAACTAATACCATATTTATAAAGGAAATTCGAAAAAGTCCAGAATTTTAACGAAAGAGATGAGTTAGATGAGATAAAGATCGATGATATAGAAGACAAAGATTCAATTATTATTATAAGAATTCCCGATTCCAAAACTCATACTCCGAGATGTTTTGTGATTTCAAGTCCAGACCAAATGAATGTATACTGCAAATACTGTGCTTTACGTCCAGCAATTACTACAAGTCGGAAGATTTTTTGTAAAGTATGTCAGGGAAAAATGTGTTAACCAAGTGGTTGGCGTCAAAAAATAAGGAACTTATGTCAATTTGCCTCATCCGGAAACTTGTACAAGACACTGCTTTCGACGTTCTTCCGTCACTCTGTTAACCGACGCAGGGGCCAATATTACCACCATTAAACGGCATGGGGGTGGCGATCTAGTACGGTACGGAAAAACATTTCGTTTGTTACATCATCAAATTTGTTAAGTAATCACAAAGTTAGTTTAAGTTTAATTAATAAGCTTAAATAGCTTAAACTTAATAAATTAAGTTTAAGGAATATCTTCGAATAATAAAATGTTACAAAAAGTAAAAAAAAGAAAATTTAGGAAAATGGTCCGAAGGCGACAGTGTATGGTTTGAGATTCAAAGCTTCCGATTATTGCAGGGAAATACATACAAAGTAGGTACTAAAAGGCTATGACCTTGTAGTATTGAATGTTAAATTAACATTAATTATGGTCAGTTTAGTCATATGAACCTGTAACGTTCAATCCAGTAATATCTAGTAATGTTGGGTAATGTTTACGTTGATTCTTAGTTTGTAATAAATAATTTTTTTTATTAATTTTCAGTAGTTCGCTAATCTGCTGATATTTGGTTATATTCGTTTCGTTAAATATTGTATTACAAAAATACAAAACCATTGCCA